ATATATATATATAATAAATGGAAATTTTATTCCAAATATGATATCAATATTCTACACATTATATTGCTCTATAAAATGATACGCCTAACAATACATACTCTTATCATAAATAGGATCGGACACGACAGGTGGTAATGGCTTGTTGAATTTTCCCTTCTGCGATCCCTCCAAAAATACTTGAAAACACAATCTCACTGCATTGAGATCTATACTAGTCGGGTGCCTCTTATGTTCAAAACCAGCTGCAATAATTAAGATCTTCCATAATCTTTGCTTAATCAAAGTTATACATATAGTACAAAATGAAAAAATCATACACATACTTCGAAAAGGATCTACCCGTAATTCCTGACGCACTCTGAGGGCTTCTTCAATGTCCTTCTTTTTTACACATTGAATGCCCAGGTTTGAGAAAGTAACAACCATATTTCCCGCTGGAACTTCTATTGTACAAACGCCTTGCTTGCATACTTCCTTGCCAACAAGATTGTGAGGATGAGGTCTATATCCTTTGTTATCCGGTGCATCCTTTGTTACACAGGAAACAACCACCATAGCACGACCATTGTAACCTACAATCTATAAAAACATTATAAGTAGATAGAAATGACTTAAGAAATTACTGAACAATTGATGCAACTCACTCTTATACTAGGGAAGGTCTTGTTCTCTGGTGCGCTGTTGATCCCAGGTATGCTACCAGCCGACCTGCCTTCACATTCATAGCGAAATCGCAGCGCTTTACTGGCAGGCTGTTCTAAAATTTCAACATATGGCTGAACATGATCACTATCCATCGCTATAGTAGCCATGGAACCAGGATCCGTAGTTTGAATGACTTCGACTGAAATCAATAGAGTGTTATGCAAGCTATATACAACGAATATATGTATATATCTTTGATACTTACTAATATCGCTTATATTAATATTTCCATCATTCATACCATTGTATTGTTCCATGACTATAAATGCTTAATACATTGAACTTTATCCATCTGAAACATAATTATATGTATTGATTAGTCACACAGTGTTATATATAATTATACAAATTGGTGCCCTATATTTCTAAAATTCTAATTCAACAAGTACTTGTACCGTTGAACTGAAATCTTAATCTACGATAGAAACTCGCATAATATCTTACATATCTTCAAAGAATCTTTTTTACACTAGCATATTTTCTTAATTCCCAATATACATTCAATGTTCTAATAGATAAATGTTTGTGTGACGAGTTGCGGAACGTATCGGGTCAGCATCAGCTACAGAAACTAGGAAATCAAGCGCAATATCCACGTACAGCCTTCGGGACCTGGAACGACAGCTGTTCGCGGATGCACGTCCAGAAACACTGCACGCAAGTGTCCCGGGGGAAAGAGGAGCGCGAGGAGGGATACAACGCTGATCCAATCATTATTTTGGGAGAGCCTAGGCCCGTACAGGCCGCGTGTCTATAATTAAACTATCGTAGGACAATGTGACGGGAAAGCGAGGAAGGAGAGCAAGAGGAAAAGAGAGATAAATATATATACCAAGAAAAGCAGAGAGAGATAGAAAGAAGACTCGCCTGCTGCACGAATCAACATGCCAAGATACTCTCGTAGCCAGCGCTGCGTGCTCTCGCGCCGTCTCGCGTTGTTCGCGACGGCAACGAGACACGACGAGGTCCTTTTCCTTGCGACGTAGAACCGGGACGAGAAAGAAAAAAAAAAGAAACAGAAAGAATAGCGGTCAGCGAAATTTTCGTCGCGGAGCGAACGCTGTCCTCGCAGCGAGAGCTTCACAATAGTGGTGATACTGCGTTGTGCTGCTCTGATCGTCGCGAGCGTGACGTAAACGCGACCATGCACGGCGAACGGACAGTAGGTAGTGACTGACTCAGAATTCAGAATGTGATTGACTTGACCGACGTACATCGTACATAGGACGGAGGCGATGGCGAAGTGAGGAGGCGGAGAGGGACGGACGGAAAGATCTCGTACGCGCGCGCGGTGAGACTAGCACCGCGTAGGACAATCGAATATGTATGTCAATGGCGCATTTTATATACATTTCTGCGATCAAATTTTTCTTTTTACGCACATAATCGTATATTAAATTACTCTCGTGATTGCTTTCGCAGAGTTCGCCGAGTCTCGCGTCACTGATAATGCATCCGATTGCACTCAAACAGCGCGTGCACTCGCGCTTTTCCGTGCACTTCTGAATATAGGGCTGTTCTTTATAGTTGAACTTGGCTGCACTAGTCCAGAATTTATCTTTTTCTCTCCACATTGGAAGAAAAAAGATAAACTTTGAAGTAGTGCAGTCAGTTCAGCTCATTGTCAGTTCAATTATAAAGAACAGACCACATGTATTTTCGTCCAAATGTCATCGAGCGCTACACGTGCTGTCAGAGCTGTCAGGTGATCCAGCGAAGCGATGGCGTCGTTACGAAAGTGTTTACGAAGAGACTCGTTGCTGTTTATTCAATCGAATGAACTCTATGATAAGTAAATAACGATCAATTATTACGTCATAAATATCCAAGATGTACGGGAAAACATACCATTTGATGGTGGTATCGGAATTCATTAGGAGCATTGAACAACAACATATACATGTGTATTTGGTAAACAGCATTTTTTGAACTAACAGATAAAACGCATATACATTTTTAAGGCCGAAAAAAATTGATTACTATTTGACTATTATCTAAGATTCAATTCGCTTTATTTAAACCCCAGCCGAGTGTAAATAAAAGTCTCTATTATATCCCTCTATAATTCGCGATAGAATCCGAGAGACAAATCTATTTATAATTTTATGTGTCGTACATACATGTATCCTGATATGTGTTTATATTTCATTTTTTTCAAATGTTCCTGTATTAAAAGCGTAAAATTATAAGCAGAATTTCTGTTCCGAATTATAGGATCACACTCAATATTGATGGGTATCAGTCATTTGTTCAGCGCTCGGATTCCCCCGTCCCCATGACGAGAGCCGCAAACAATCTCGATCGCTTTCGAGGATCCGAATTTTATGCGCAAGCTGCAAACGGCGATATGCCAGAAACTGCTACTCAATCGAAACGAATTTCAGGCCCGCGAGCCGGAGCCGTGACTCGGGTGGAGACCAGGCTGCCCCGATGCGTCCAACGTAGATTACCGTGCGCTCCGGTGCCCGTAAGATGCCATCCACGACCAAGCCCGTACCGATGCGCCGACGATCATCGCGTATCCCGAAGACCTTACAAACTGGCGGTTGGTCTGTCGGTGACTAGCCGAACCGGCACCCCAACACCGATCCCCAAGAGCTGCTCCGATCGATGCCCGCCTAGCGGTTGCTTCCTGGGCATCGGCACTCCTCGCTGCAAGAAGAGCCTGTCAATGATGGATTTGTCCGCCGTCGATCCCGATATTGGTGATCTCAAGTGAGGCCGCAAGTCAAACGCGCTGTAAAATGTTGTATGAATTAGCGAATAATATCGATAGTTTCTGACATAAGTATCTCATTGATGATACCATGCATTTCATTTCTCTAAATATAATAAAATAGTTGTCAAAATTAATAGTATATATTTGATAGATTTTACACCGTTAAATATTCTCTCAACAAAGTTTTCTTATGGCGCCTAGTATTATTGTTAGACATCATCGATGAAAATTTTATACATTAAAAATCGGACGGCAATTAACTCTGCCGATTATAAGAATGCGAATTAATCGGGGAGTATGTCGTCTAGGTCAGAGAGCGGCTCTACCGTCAGTCGCCTCGACGAGATCGCCGACAAATCCAAAGATATCTTGGCGAACGGCGGAAGCGGCAGATCATGGACGGACGCTACGCCGTCCTCGGAATCCGAGCAGGGCGAAATTGCCGGTTCGGAGGATCTGACGATCCGAGCGGCGAACATTGTGTGCCACATGCTAATGCTGAACGCTTGGCGACATAGACGCGCCGAGATCACGCAGCTAGAGCAACAGGTGGAGCACCTGCATCTCCAGATCGAGTTCCTGCGTCGATTGTTACTCGCCGAAAACGACCGGGTTGGCAGATTGAACGGTGAACTGTATCGCGAAAAGTCACAATTGGAGGAGACGACGCGCGAGCGCGACGCCATCAAATTGGTACGGTTGCCCTAGTTTTAATATTTTTTTGCATAATACATCGTTTATAAATCGCGAAGGCACTTTTCTTTTTTATCTGAATATTTCGTTTCCAGGAGAGAGACAAATTGGAAGTCGAACTAAAGCATGTCGACGAGATTTCTCAGGAACGATCGGTCACCGTGGGAAATCTGAAAAACGAGCTCTTGACCGCACAAGATCAGTTAAAGGCGCTCGACAAGCAAATGGCGAAAGATCGGGAGAAGCTCTTAAAATTACGGGAAGATAAGAGGATTCTCCTGGATAAGGTTCCGTGTTTTCTTTTGACTTGAAAATTAATTGCGCGCACAAGACTAGATCGCCTATAAATATCCCTCACTAATCATAAGTATACTTTTCTTAAATTGCAGACTTTCTGATTAATTCCGGGTCATTTTCCTCTTGGCAAAAAATGGTCATAATTTATCACATTCTTCTAATGGAAAACTCTACATAAACAATATGCATTGAGTCACGAGACTTGCGACTTTCGACCGCGCACGTGAATGGTTGTATGTATATCGTCCGCAATAGCGCAATGGTGATAAAAAATTGATCCGTCGTTCGGTGACTCACTGTTATGCTCGTAGGAGACGCGAGATCGCGACCTCTTTTTCCTCCTCTTCCTCCTTCTCCTCCTTCTCCTCTTCCTCTTCAGGGGTGAACTCTCTCGTGCGAAATCCCTTCGCGTTCCACGAACTAGTATGACTCATCCCTTCCTTCTCTCTCTCTTTCTCTGTCACCCTTTCCACTCTTTCGTGGAAGTTGGACGTCTCCAACGATTGTGATGTAAAGTAACATTGGCTCGCTGCATAAATGTAGGGAACGACAAGGAAATGTCATCGGATTTATATCTAGCGGATTCTTGATATAACAAGACTTGCTATAAATCCTTTAAAACGTGATAAATTACAGTTTTGTAAAAATAATATCACTAAACGTTAAAATTCTGATGTTCTATAACCATTAGAAATTTATTTTATAATTTATGCTAAATTTAAAAAAAACACTATTTTGTTAAATTGCAAAAATATTGTGTAATATATTGTTTGTGATTAAAAGTCGTATATAACGGAGCATTTTTGCGAGTATTTAAGCTTTTTCCAAATTATCTTTATTGTAACGAATGTAAAGTTGTTATTTGTCAAGCACGTGCTCTGTGCAAGATCGATATAATATCATGCCGTTATTGAGTTCAACCTACGGCACTTGTCATTATGTGCAACCTTAGTGACATCCATCATTTTTTAAAGATCGTAGAATTCATCTGCGAGACAGCGTCAGGTCAACGCACGACAAGAGAAATATAGCTTACGGGTGAATCACACCTTTCGCGTTTCGTCGGTGACTCAATATCATGTAATACTCCTTCCGTACCAGGAAGAAGGATCAATACTACTTGCCCTATTAACTTTTATTCATTGTGGAATATCGCGAAAAGTTGCAATACCAATATGTACCCGGAATTAGACGCATCATGTGTGACTCGTATATTTGTATGTTATATTGATGAATCCTACATATACGTGAATGAATGATTATGCGGTCGCAGGTCCAGCAATTTTGCAAAAAATCCGGAATCTGGAAAAGAGAATTATACATTGTTTAAATATCTTTAATAATCAAAATATTCGAAAAATCATTTTGCTTCGTGTAAAAGTTATAAATCATTATATTTAAACTTTCGTATAGTGTTGTGATTTATGACAAGAAAATTTACTTAGGTATCAGCCAGCGAGGCATTGGCAACGGATCGTCGCATCAGAGCCGAAAAAGCAGAATCTACTGTCGAGGAGTTGCAGCTGCGATTAGCGGCGCAGGTGGCTCACGCCGAGTCAATGCAGGAACAGTTGCAGCGCCTTTCCAGGTATGATAGAGATTCTAATTGTAATCTGAAACACCTGCGTATGGAAACTTAACTCGTTAATAAACTATATAATTAGGGAATTACAAGTTACGGACGAGGAGAAGCAGAGATTAGAGAAACGTGTGAGAGCCAGCGAGGGTAACGCGAGGGCTCTGAGTTTACGTGCCATTTCTCTGGAGAGTCAATTAGTCGATCGAGAAGCTGAACTTCGTCGCGTCGAATCGGACTACAATTCCCAGATGTGAGATTTACTTTAGAAAAAATTCTTTCCAATTAATCAAGTTCCACAACGTGTATTTTTATATATTGTCGCATTTGTCAGGACGGAATTGAGAGAGCTGCGAGAGCGACTACTACGTCAGTCTCAAGAGGGTGGCTGGAGTAGTCGGATGTTGCAGATTGCTGGGAGCATCATGCGCGCGTCAATCATCCGGACTTTCGCTTTCCTATCCAGTGCTGCTCTGTCATTGCCGCCGTAAGAGTAAGTAAATATTTTATGATACTAGCACTTGAAAAGATTCAACAACCAGAAATGATACGAGAATTTTTGCTTCGTTATTTTATGTCGTTTGACTTACAATTAGACTTAGTCTGCGATATTATATAATACAGGGAGCTGAAGAAACATTACTAATTTTTGTATGTAAAATAAGCAGAAAGGGCTTAAGCGTGATTGCGATTTTCTGGGAGCCGATTTTATTCGGAGAAAAACGTACCGGTCAGTTGAGGCAAACGTGTCTTTGGCCGTGTGAAAAGGAGGATGATTTACAATTGAAAATGGCAATTCGGAGAATGACAAGGACAAGCACTCGTAGGATGGCAAATAAATTGACAAGCATTATCTTCTCCTTTCGTATTACGTTTAAAATTTAACATTGCAATCTTTTTTTTTCGAATCAATATTTAACTTTTAAATAACGGATATTTTATATGTATATATACGCTTGACACATACCGTGGATAAAACAAGCGATTTTATCGCATTATGCGATATTTCGATTTATAGGGATCAAGTTTTTTCTTTTTTGTATGTAAATTGTATAATATAAGCAAGAAAATGATGTGTACTAAATGGATCTTTTAGCAGGATTTGTGTAATAAACGTGAGATATTACATACCTTTTTATCTATATATTTTTATATTCCTTCGTGTAACATGATAAACTGATAAAAATAAATTACCGTCAGAATATTATCTGATGGCAGATTACTACTGCGAGGCGTAGTACGATTTGCGATTGTTGGCCATTCGTGCATTTTCTTACAACGAATTGCCCGCTATGGCGAGGTTACTACGTTTCAATTTATTATCCCTCTCTACTTAATATAATAATTACATGTTACTGCATCTTAAATAAATACGTATACATCAGAATGCGATGCTCGCATACGGTTACAGTATTTCATTATGACTAAGTAATCATTTTATTATTATCGCGAGTATTTTGCGTTGATAAGAAATAATGCGTAGTGTCTCGGAATACGATCGTATTTAGTACAGGACGTACACACTAATTAGCTTACGTTATCCGCCATCTTCGACGTTGGAAGTACCGTATAATTGCTGTGCTGTAATCATATAAGTGGGATACAACGAAAGAAGTAAAAAACTGCTAGGCACAAAGCTTCAATGTATTAGTATCGTTTTTAAGTCGTTTTAAAATCACATATTGTGCGCCATTTGACAAAAACGTGTTGCAAAAAAAAAAAAAAAGAAATACTGATAAATGGAACGTTATACACTGCTATGATGATCCCTTCATCAAATGCGTTGATCTGTCCTTACATATAATGCATACCTGCGAAGAAAGGAAAAGTTATATATGTGTATTTTGATTTGTTCTATCGTATGTCATTATACAGCGACGTTAACTACATCGTCGTACGAGGAACGTATTAATGTAATTCTCTTTACGTTCACATAACGCAAAACCTATAACTATGCTACGTCTCGATATAATAATATTGAGCAACTTTGATGTTGAGGTAACATTGCTCTTGCTCTGGATATCTTCCATTTTATAAAAATGTCGCCGCGGTTCAGTAGAAATTGCATTCTCCATACTCGTCGGAAGATTAGATTGTTCTTGATAGTCTTCGGCGTAAAATTGAAGAAAGATTATTCTAAAAAGATTTCTCTCTAACCGTTTACATATACAAAACGTGCGACAAAGTTACTATCCTTTCTTCTCAACCTCGTCAACGGCAAGGAAGTTACTGAGGAGACAAATTCATGTGACAGGACTTATTTTTCGCGAAAGAGGACGCGTGGATTTTTATCATCAGAGGAAAGATGGATACATATTTGTTGATATAATAACACAGTGCTGTTTTAATTAGACTCGACTAAAAATTTAGCGGATTCTTGATTAGATCATGCCGAAACCTTCGGTACCCTCGCTGATGGCCAATAGCAATGCTCGTTCAAAGTGATCGTAGCACTCGTAGTCGGGTAAGCAAAGTTGATTAAAGCTGGAAAAACGATATTAATAGAAAATTAATGAATAATGTCAAGATGCTCATATCCTGATGAAATTTTTGGAACAAAACATACCAAGTATGTGCCGTGGGTAAGTTAGCAAACGTTGGCGCAGCTGTAATCTGGAAACGTGGACTCAATTGTTGAAATCCACCGGGTGGCAATTGCGAGCAGCCCGTGGTAAACTGGAGTAACCGCGCCATCTCCTCCTGCGTAAAATTGCTCACTGCCGTCCAGAACCAGTCGAGCACTCGAAGAAATTCCGGAGAACTTCCGTTAGCTATGTGATGCGCGCGCAAATCCGCTACGCTGTATTCGCCGGTTCCGCATAACAGCAACTGTGAAAGTAGGTAGAGAGTCATCGCATCTTCGAAAGACAAATTGTCTCGAGCAGATATTTTACGTACCTCCAATTCATTTTCGTCGAATATTCCTAAAAGATTATCGGGAATCAATTCGTTGAGACCGCGTAAGAAATGATCGACTTCGTTGCGAATGGAACTGGCAAGCCGGTGCTGAGCGAGCGCGTCCAGATAACGAAGCTTCGTGTCATTGGTCACTCGGATCTTACTACCACCAGGAATTAATTCCGCTACCTGTGCAAAACGTAGGGACATTAATAATAATTTTCGCGTAGTTGTGCATTAAATTACATTAATATTCGTTTCGAATCTTTAGATCCAAATCTCTTTTCTTTATTGTTTGCATTTATATATTTTAAAAATATCTTTGTTTTGTTTTTCATTTCTTGCAATAAATATAGCAGCAACGTTACAATAAATTCTCTCGAATGAGAGTTCGCCGTTACTTTCGCGAGATAAAAACTTGTTTACCTTCAACAATTGACCATCCTTATCATATTCCTCTTCAACGAAATATAATTCCATTTCCTCAACATCATTCTCGAGAATGTACTTCACTTTACTTAAATACAAATCAGGGTCGTCTTGCTCAAAGTACTAGCGTCCATAAAAAGAAATATATACTTATTAATTTATATTTTCTAAATTTTTTCTAAACTGAAAGATGAGCTTTCTCAACACTTTACCTTGTAATGTACTCGAAGTCCTATAATCTGCGCCAGGAATGATCTGGTGAATCGCGCTCGTACTAATTGACGATAAGAGCCGCCGAGTGCCGACTCGTAAAGACACTTGCCTACGATACGTCCAGCAAATTCGTAGTGCTTCAATTTAAGATGCGACGGCCGTTTCGGATTTGGATGGACCAATGCCTGCTGCGACTCTCCAAACGATGCGAACAAACCGTTTCCCGGATCGAACAGCGCGGCGCATATCAATTCGAACCATTCGCGTCGCACACCACCCCAATCAACGCCTGGCGCATGAAATAACGATTCTTAGATAATTATCTTGTCAAATCGATCTTTATAAAAATTCCTAAAACGCAAACCTACCTTGTTCGCCTTGGAAAGTGATTTCAAAATTTCGGCACCACTCGCTCACGGAAAATCCTTTAGTGGCCTTCATAGACTTAACAAGAAAAATGTAGTCAATGTACATTCTTATACGCGAGACTCTCATAAAAAGAAAATTACCATAAGTTAAATTTATATTTACCGATTCTAAAAGCTTATCGCGCTGCACTTTCATCGACAATTTTTCGTGATAATGCTTCTGATGATGCTTACGGACCTCGTGATAGAAAAAGTCTTGTTTATCGGCGAATGTCTCACTGCCACCGATGTTTTTCAAAAGAAATAGAGTAAATGTAGCGGCTATTATATCGCGGTACAGAGATATTAATTCAACGGGTGGTTGACATCCATCGTCTATCGAGAAAGGATAATAGCCCTCGTGCTGATTAGTCGAATTTTCAAAATGGAACTATAAAGCAATTAGAAAAATAAGAAATTACACAAACCAGCAACAGAATTGACAAATTAACGAGGTGCCTGCACATATATATAATTATTTCTAATGATATTACATACCTTAGTCGAAGGGCACAGTCTAAATGTTACGAGTCTTTTGGGAATGAATTTTAATAAATATTCCTTAATCGTAAGTTGCTTAGGCGAGATAAAGCAGAAGACTTTCTTTGGTTTGGAAAACCTCTCCCCTTGCATGCCCAGCAGCTTCGCGACATAACAAATATCGGGATCCTTGGACGCTACGTTATTATGTACCATTCTCGCGACGGAACCTAATAATAAGAAGAGAAGCAATATACACGAGTGCTTTATATTATGTGGAAATAGTCTCATGAAAAAGAGACGTATTTTTTACGTACTCTCGAGCACAATGATATCAAAATCTCCATTGTGCAATTGCAATCCAGCTAAACTGACAGTCGCGTGATAACATCCGCCTTTCGGAAAGCTTACTTTCAAACGAATTCTTTGGTTTGGAGAATCGTAGTCTAGTTGAATACTGCAGTCTACCATCGATCCTTTATCTCCTATACTACCGATCTACGGTAAACGCAGATATATAGATAATTAAACAATAGTCATTAAGATTTTTTACTCTCGCAATGTATTTTTCGATTTACCTGAGTAATATTAATATTATAGCCTTCAGTGGGTTGATCCTTAGGCCCAAATATGCACAGATTGTCATATTCGTCGCGTGGTTCTATTGTCATCGAATGCGCTATTCCGGCTGTACAAACGACCGTAGAACTTTGTCGTACAAAGACCGTCTTATTTGGATCCGGGGGGCCTATGTTAAATTATATATTTCATGATATAATATTCTATAAATTTTTCGATCAAAAAATTTGGAGTTAATTTTTACTTAATAAAAATATTAAGAAATAATTATCCATTATTGTAAATTCTCAGTTTCGAATCTTAAATATCTGTGTAACTAGTCATAAAACTACAAATCTGTTAACGTAAAGACTACTAAATAAAAAATAAAGTTTCGCTTAAATTTTTAAATCTAATTTCTAAAAAAGAGAGAAAAAGAAAGAGCGAATCCTCAATCACATAATTCAAAAACCATCAATTTTTCAATATTATATATATATTTTTGTTCACATATATGTTATTGAACTTATCGTAAGATACTCTTGTCGTATGGTTTAACTTTACTTTAGGATGTATCAGACGTATTAGATTCGTATCGACTTTATTTTACATGCATCAAGTATACATACCAGGAAGAAAATTCTTAAGAAACGGGCTGCCATGAACATGACACGATCCGATAAGTACAGCTATTCGATATTGTCCCGCATGGCGGACAGTAAACTTGACTACTGCAGTATTCGCAGCTAAGGGGTCGGTGCCTCCCAGTTCTATTAACGTAGCTACTCTGCGTGTATCTTCCGTCACTTCTACGATCAAATTATCCTTGTCGCATATCGGATATGGTTGACCGTTACGCTGATAAAACTACAAACAAATATTCTTATGTTTAATCAATATATTTAGCGCCCAAAATATATGACTAATCAAAACGCCATTTTTAACTGTGCTAATCACGCGTGGTCTGCTTCATAATTAAATTGTATTATAGTTTTCAAATAGATTGTTGTATACCTAACTGTTTATCACTTGAAATCTCGCAACTTTATATTTTTACAGACGTGTATTAAAATAACTGTTTTATGAATGTGTTTCGTGTTTCACATTTTACGCGGATTATTTCCTTGGAATGTAAATATCCGCGGCGGCAGAGCCGCTTTACTCACTTTTACAGTAAAAGTCATCGTTTCGCCGACCAGCTGAGGCTCTTCCCACTCGAAATGAACGCGGCAGTTACTCGGCAATAAATATTTTCCTGTGACGTATTGCAGAAGAGAATGTTTTGCTTCGGGTGCCAGAGCGGGCTGCGTCATAGCAGCCAGGGTAACCAGCCCTGCCACCGATACGGAAACTACCAGCATACCGCCTGGCGGAGTATAAGTTATTTGTTAGCTTTGTGCACATTTAATCAATGGTCTCTACTTTCAAACGCGTGTAAAACGTTCAACAAACGTTCAGAAAAGAATTAGCAAAAAATAATGAAAGATTGGATAAGAGAAAACCGAATCTGTTTTAATGCTTTCTCTTTAAACGTATACCGTTTTAATTTGAACGACATCGGTAATTAATAATAATTTTATTAATAAGTATTTAATTATTTGTTAATTTATTATTACTATTAATTCCTCAGTGATAAAATTTTATTGCGTTTCATGTTTTATGTCGCGCAAAGATAGTATAAAAATCATTTCCGTTAAAATTGCCGTTCTCAAACTGTTACTATTGTGGCGAATCCACGAGGCATACGACAATAAATCCTCGTTCCGGAGGAAGGATTTCGTTTCACCGAAATAGAGAGAAAATGGTGTTACATAAACTCGTACCCCATGTCCAAGCGTCCTGATGTTGGCTGTTCTTCACAACGGCACTCCACAGATCCGCTTTTAGAGTTTCTAAATCTTCCTTTGAAGTAGGCAACGTCTGCCTGGCCTGCATCCATCGCGGTAGATCCTTGCCAAGGGCTGCTCGTGCCGCATTGTCCTCCACCCAGTATACATCCTCCAGGGACATCACCTCCATCTGCATCAACCTGACAAAGTACATCTTCAAAGTATACGTTCGAAATATACTTCACAAAGCCATACCTTTATAGGCCTCTTAGAGATAGCCCGTTTATTTTAGCGGATAAGAGACAACTAAATAGGAAGGAAAAGTTTTATAAAATTTCAATGTAACAGTAATTAAGAAATTATTTTTCAAAGCTAACGAATCCGAATATAATAATTTAAATAATGTATTACGAATTATTGATAACTATATTATTCAGATTTTTCTGCGATGTAATAAAATATATAAATTGTATCAATTAAAATTTGTGTGATTCAACTCAAGAATCTAAATAATAATTATCGACCATTCGTAATAAACTAATTAAACCTATTCGCGAATTAAAAAAAATAATATCTTGACAGTTCTGTCACCAACCATTGCTACGTATATATCATTATATCATTAAGACTAATATTCAACCGTTATTGAGCTATTTATACTTGTGCAAATTTCTCTTACTTTTGATAATAATTGTGTAGGCCATGATCCGTCAACCATTGACGTAGCACCAGTCTCTGCTGCAGCAGACGCGCGGCGCGCTGCAGACGTTCTTCATCCTGAGCCGGAAGCTCGGGAAGCGCATCGACCTCACCGCAACTCGCGAGGGTCGAGATGCCTGTTAAAAGAAGGAAAGTCATGTATATTCTTTTGGCACAAAAATATGCGATTAATTTGAGACGAAAAAAACAAGGCGATAACTCAAACATCAGAAACGAGAAAATACAATTTCGATCATCTCTGAACTCGCACATATGTATTTTGAATTTTCTTTCAAAAAGAGACAAAAAAATATTTTTTTGTTATAAGACGCAAATTATATATATAGTTTTCATTATATCTTCCACGATCCTATAATAAATAAACAGGATTCACTACAAATCATAATCCATTGCCTCTTCACTTTTTTTCTGACATGAGATGAGGTGGATTTTTTACGGCGTCCTATCCTTAGATAACAACGCATTGTTAATTAATGATGCTTCTGTAATCAGTGCGAAATGGCATCCGAGATATTCGTGTACCGATAGCTCGGTATCATTGACAGAGAGAATGGGTAATGTCGGCTGCGATAATTTGCGTTACTTCACTTCCTTCGCATCCGTTTTCGATGGGATAGTGTCAGTCGTAAAACCAATCAGAACCGGGTAGAACGTGCCGCGTGCGTCTCGAGATGCGTCGCCACATCTTGCTTCTCGTTCTTGCCTGCATCCTCGCGTTCACGGACATCGCAATCGCGTCATGTTTCGCCAACAAATACGAAAATGGTGAGGCTACATGACATTTGACGAGAACTGTACTTTCGTCTATTTCACAAAAAAAAATTATCTCTCTCTTTTATTTTGTAATTTAACTACGTATATCATTTACGCTGAAACTTTATACGTTTTAATTTTGCTTTTTTATGAATTGCTAAAATATAAAATAAAATGTAAAGTGGTAATAATTGTCGCGATTAACTGATCTCGTTTTGCTATTATTAAACTATTTAATTATCCATAGGATCACACGAGCGTGTGATATGCTCCAATCTGACCAACTTAAATATCGCCATCAATTACGGCGGGACGCTCGTAGACGACATGATGATTTTTCAATCGCAGATAGATAATATTCCCGATCAATCGTTCCTGAGATACAGTAAGAGCTTAGTATCTCTGAATATGCGCGACTGCGGTATCAGAGAAATTTCCGGCTACGCCTTCGACGGTTTGAAGTACATGAAGAAGCTCGGCCTGTCGTACAATAACATCACGTCGGTGAAGGATCAGTGGTTCGTTGGTTTAATATTTCTGGAGCAACTGGATCTCTCATATAATAACATCGTGTCGATCGAGTCCACGGTCTTCGAGACATTGCGAGGCCTCAAAAGGCTCGACGTCAGGAAGAACCGTTTGACATGCTTGGAACCGGCCCAACTCGCACCCATGGCAGGCATCGAGAGGTTTCATTTTTCCGGAAATCCCTTCACCTTTCGATGCCGTGGCACGGTGAGCGTTCCACTTCTTTTCATCAAAAAAAAAAAAACTCTCGTTCGACCACATATTCGAGCATTATAGCGGAATAAGCGGAATAATAGCGCGACGCGACGATGCGATGACTTTTGTAATTTGCTTTAAAACTCAGATCTCGAGAATATTTGTAACATAATATTGGAAGAAAGAAGAGAATGAAGATATTTCAATCTACTGCTGCTCGCGTATAAATATCTAACCGGATGCTGACATTTTGTTCCAATGCTCGCGTTATCAATGACAAGTTTCATTGTAACAAAACAAATCGCTAATGATTTCGAATCTAATCTCTCCTATGTTACAGCTGACGTTGTGGTTACAAGATCTCGGCATAAATTACAAAACTGAGCAACGCGGAGATGAAGACTGGTTGGACAGTATATTGTGGCTCTGCGCCGCGGACGACGGCAAGGTGGCCGATTCCGAAGTCCTGATGAAGGAATGCGTTATTCTTAATCTATTCAATCAACTTCGCACTGGTCTAACCACGGCCGAGTCTTTTCCCTTATCTATTCCGCAGGAGTGTATATACGCAAGAAACGAACTCACCAAATGCGTCACTACAGATCGCAGACGTGGCAGGGAAGTTATCACTAACGGACACGTCATGAGGAAACTGTTACGACAGTTGATGGAATCGAAATCAACTGTATAATAACAGCGGACTAATTATAAATTTAAAAACAAATAATGCGTTGCCATAAAATATTTTACGTTAATTCTTTAGACGCTAGCATTCCTAATAAACATCATATCTGATGTCAGATTTTCGTATCGTTAACAAAATGATTTCTTTGTTTGCTAGACAAAACTGATTTTGTCGGCAAATTCGTCATACATAATTCCATAATTATATACTGATCTATTCTGCTTCATGTAAAAATGTTTAAGGCAAAATAAATGCTCTTTTTTTTCTGAGGCTCTAGATATATTATTTTTCGTATCTAAATATATATTTTTTCAAGGAAAATGTATGCGTTGTTTTTCAAGCTGCACAGTTGAAAAATTCGTGTTAAATTTAACAGATATCACATGTCTCAAATGGTCCAGACAAATTTTTGTGTTAATTTAACATAATATGAAATATGTTAAATGGTGACACTAATACTATATTAATATTTTAACACAGAGAGAGAGAATAAATGCAAACCTCAAAGTAATTTGAAATAAATTTTATGTAAAAAATTAACATATTTTTAATGATAAAATTAATTTGGAAAAATGTAATTGATGGTTTGTAGTCATTCTCACTCCTATTGTAGAATAAAATCAACATTTTTTCTGTAAATTTTAACAGATAAATTCTATCTCTAATAATATGAAACATACCTATTATGTAAAATTGAAAACAGGTGTATATTGTGTTTTTTTAACACTTTTCAGTTGTTTTAATATTTTATTTGAGTTCAATTAACACAACAGCAATATGTTAAATTAACACATAAATATATCAAATATTTAACAAAAATTTTAACCAGAATATTTTTTAACAAGTAAACACAAATTGTCCAACTGTGTGTATCTTTCGTAACAATTAGCCATTAAAAACTTGTGTGCTTTCGCAAATATCTATTCTCCAAGAGATTATTTTAAAATTATCTTAATTAGTAGAAAAGGTAAACATAAAGAATGTACAAAGAAATCGATTTTTATAGATCCAAGAATAATTTCGTAATAAGAGGATTAATTCGCTGCACCACGCTGCTATACACGCAGATATGAGATATTTATAGCGTACATACGTCAGTGCAAATTACACAATACGGTATGAAATTAGGGTTTAGACCCGGTGACCACTCGAGATTCGCATCAAACATTCGTCCTCGCAGAGCAGTTACTCACCGGAGGATGCGCTCCCGCTGGGCCGCAACGACATGCCGATGGATGATATCTCGCCGGCGAGGAAATCTTTGTTTTCGCGTTGTCCATTTCGGCGGCCCGGATTTTTGTCTGGCATAATTCCCTCTCTCTTTCCCCTGTCTTGTCGTCGCACCTTAACGGCTACGGCGCGTTTCGCTCACCGTTGTCGCCCCGACGTCGGTTCCCGCATCTCTTCGAAAGATTACGTTAATCGTTCATTCGAGACACATTTTACTTCATGTAGGTATTTGGAGAGGTGCGCCAAACGCGAATGTGCAGCTGATAATATTGCAGTGTCTCTGAGATGCGCGCGGCTAGACTCGCGTCGCGAAAACGCTCGATCTTACTTTACGGAATAACCGGAATTGTGCGATGCCGAGCGATTTGGACAGTGATCCGGAGACACTGAAGAACGAGTGCGATTATGGCAAAATAAGGAATTAGGTTGTTATAATGACCGGCTTTCCCGTGAATCGTGCTAGAATTATGGACATTATTATGCGATTAATCCTCGAATACACATATGTACACAAGTTGAATTTGATTGCACGATGAAAAAATTCTTCGACTTAATAAATCATGTGTTCTTTTTCATATGCTTTTTAAAATATCGCATAGAATTAGTAGTATCAGAGCGTTATCTTAATCATGATATATTTATCTTGTTGCTGCCAAATACGTAAAATTTTAACGCACGGTTCATGATATTAGAAAAAGGGTAACGTAAACTCAGCACGTATCCGAGAATTAGACCGTGAACAAGCATCATTAATTATTTCAATTATGTACGCGCCGCCCTTGTACGATTTATAAAGTAGTGAAATTTTATCGCGAGAACGCGCACAAAGATGCAGCGTGCATTTTTGCGAAACGTGAAGAAAAGAGAGAGACATCGAAGAGCTTAATCTACGTCGGTGAAGACAAAGGGCGTTTATGCTTTTGCCGAGAATTAATTCAACGATGGAAAACATTAATCACCCTTTCACGCTCAACAATGGCCCCCTCCCGGTATGCTTGTGAACGAAAGAATAGACGGGGCAGAGCGCAATTAATTTCAATTATTCGTGGCAATTCGCGGATGCAGGTGAAAGCAAATAGAAGTGCGTAGGCGGCTGCGATCGAGACAAAGCCAATGAAGTAGAGGATGGATGAACATTAATTAGCAATTTATAAATCGATAACTGAGATGATTGATTTTACACTCAAAGAGAGAGAAAGAGAGGGGGAGAGAGAAAGAAAACAAGGGAAAACAAAAACAAAAAATTTTTATGAAATTAATTCATTCTCTCGCGAGTTTTATGAAATACAACAACAAGTTGCAAAATCGTTACACAATAGCATCGTTTAATTGCTCTAACAATGGTAAATTATTATACGTTAGACAAGATATTATAGGGGGAGAGAGGGTGACACTGTGTTAAATAGACACATATTATATTCGCGAAGAAGGATTATATAGACATAGAAGGATTATAGACATTAGCGCCGTAGCTATGGTATAATCTGCTTAAAAGCACATATAATTCACACTGTACATCATCCTAGGTTTTTAATTAACGGCTCATCGTAATCCCACGGAATAACGTGAATTCATGAAACAAGAACAATCGGCGGGGAATAGCGGTCGAGAGAGCGAATGTCCGAACTTGGCGAAAATTTAAATCCTTAAAGTTTAATTTAGAAAGTCGATTGCGTGCCGTGTAAAAATTCCACGTTGAAACACCCGCACTGTTTCTATAAGTCCGTCGCTTCAATTCCTCAATCCTGTACGTACAATACAATTGCGATTGAAAATTTTATTCGATTTAGCGTAATCATATTTTAAACTGGATCAAAGTGATAAACCGGAAGAAATTGAAATATAAGTTTTATTACGCATAACACATTAATAAACGCGTTGCGTATATTCAATAATTTAATAAAATTTGTCATTATTTTGTACAAATAATTGAATTTTGTGTATTTGAATGCATTTAATAGATTGTAAATACGCGAGAAGCCTCAAGAACTAAAGGAAAAAGATTTTATTACTTTTTATTACCAAATCGTATCGGAAATAATTGACTCGTCAGTTCTCGTACTAAATCCAAACGCATAAAACACAATTGACCTAATAAACATGACGATGCAATATTAAGCATCGCGATAACACGAGGACGCCCGATTCAATCACGATGCGGATACATTAGTATAAATTAAGTGAATTTTCGAAAAGGGGTCGAGGGTACACTCGAGGTCAAAGCGGGATATCGCATATCCCGCATTTTTCACGCACGTCTCATTTTTTGTGAAAAATTTATCGCGCGTTCAATGCTAGTTGCAGAAACAACCGCGAAATTTCATAAATAAATAAAAATATACAAAACGAGATAATACATATATGTACACATATATACATACACGAGCGCATAGAGACGTATATTTTTCTCGAGCGTTTCTCTTCAGGGCTGAATCGAATTTCTGAGCCTTTATCATCGCTATATTTAATACATATTTTATCGATTCTGACAAGATGATGGATGTTTTATGATAATGTATAGCGGTACGTATATTCCATATGAAAAATGGGCATTTATCGATTTCCGATATTTGTACAATACAATTCGGTTTAATTATATGTACATACATCAGATTGTCCTAATAGCTGTAGGTAATATTAATAAGGCATTATATATGCTGGACATTTGATTGCTACCAGCGGATTGTCTAGATTAATCACACGCGATGTGAAAAACGCGTAACTCGTACACATTGGAGGGAGGAGGGGAGGGGGCCTGTCACATAATTAAAATTCCTAGGGAAAAAAAATAAAATCAATGCAATTTCGTGAAACCAACGACTTGTAAAAAGTTTAAAGATGATACAAAGCTCTCGATCTACACGTCGATGCCTGTTGTTGGCAATAAATTCTGACCCTTGAAACATTTATTGTTAGAGGTATCCACAATATGTATAAAATTGTAACTGCAACAATATAAATAATAATATTCGTAATATTCGTGAACATGTGAAAAAATATCGCAAAGAATCCTTGAAACATTTTGTTTCCTCGATGCAACAAAATTTCGAATTAATAGATACTTGTTACCAAGTTGTAAGTGATTTTCCTTCGTAAAATTGTAGCAGGTTGTAAAACAGTCCGATAACATCGGTAGTAAACCTGAAGATTTTATATTTCTTACGGGGAATATGATCGCGCGATTTCAAGCGTTGATCGGTCTTTTTCTCTTAAACGATGTGATATTTCAAACGCTAATCTTTTTTTGCGACAAACTGCTGACTTGTACGTAATCCGCTTTATGAGATAGGATAATCTCAAGACCGTAATACGGGGATCCGCGTTGTTGAAAGGCTTTGATTACCGATGTGAAAGAGTGATGAGAAAAGCATGTGTGTCATTAGAACGATTACGTTATTCCGATTTCAATAATCCGACAAGTTGTCAAAGTTCGAGAGAATGTGATAAAAGAATTAACAATCGGATCGGAAAAGCTATGGAAAATACGTTACATGTCAGACGAGCGAAAGAACGAATCACGTCGCAAAGATTCATCGGCGTTTCATTCGCGGATCCGTATTTTTCGCGAGGTTCTCACTCGACCGCATCACGCTCACATTTTTCGATCGACGAGAGCCTCTCGTATTTTTCTCCGACAGAGCGTGTACGAGTCGGTGAAAATAACTTCCGCGCTAGAACAAAGAGAGAGGTCGCGGCAACCTGCTTAGACGGAGGGCAACTCTTGACCTTTTCGAACGGATATCCTTCCGACGTTAGGTAGGTCGGTACTTTGCGCTAACGATCCTTTCGCGAAGCGACGGGGGAGGAAAACCGGGGCGCGTTATACGTACGTATGTATGTCACATATTGCTCATGGTTATGCATGAGAGGCTCGGGTTTCCGTGCGCGCCAAGATAGGGCAGATCGATCGCGCGTTTTCCGCGTACCAAGTTTTGTGCATCACGCGCGATCGCGACTGGTTGATTACGAGATCTCGAAATTTAAGATTACCGTCGCGTCGAGGGCATGCCAAGTAAAATATTTTTCATGCTTTAAGACTT